AAAATAAGGCCCAGGCTAGGGCCATGTCTACACCGCAGGGACTCTAGTGGCATAACTATGGCAAACTTTGCAAATATTCCTTAGTTACGCTTGACAAGCCGCCTGTGAGGCAGGTACAGGATCACACCCTCGACCACCAAAATGAAGCCGGCTTTAGAGTGGAATCTGTTTTAATAGTGGACGGCAGTGCTGCACAGACTTCAGGGAGGCAGGATGGGAGGTGGAATGGGCTCCGAGCACCTGCCAGACACCCCCATCTTTTATGAAAAGTGTTATCAGGTCCTTAATGCCAATACATTTTCTTCAACGAGCCTCTGACCTGAGATGATGAGGCACCTCTAGCAGCATACCACCCCCTATTCCCATCCTGGTGAAACGGTTCAGTGCTCACTTAAAATGAAGTGATCTCCTACAACATGTGAGAACCCTGCCTGCTTAATCTGCCCCACCTTGTATTTCGCTTACACTTGGATTTCCTTCCCCAGTCCTGCAGAATAGCTCTGTGTAGCTTGAAAGCTTGTACATTTCACCAACAGAAGTTGGTCCAATAAAATATTACCTCACCCACCCTGTCTCGCTGCTATCCTGGGACCAACAGGGCTACAACACTGCAAACAACAATTAAAAAGGTAAAGTCGCTCAGAGAAGTTGGCTCAACAGTAGACAATTTGGTCATATAAATGCTCAACACATTTAAAATGAGGCTATATTTTAATAAATCTCAGACAGGAGTTAATTATGCTTTGAATGCATTCAACTAACTGCTTGAATTCAGGCCAAGTCATTTTCTGAGGCAGTAAAATACATTCAATCAAACTTCAGTGCTTCAACTTTTGTTATACATCAAACTTTCACAAGCTAGTAAATGTTCCTCATGGAAAAAGCATAAAAACTCATCTATCCAGATTTCTCACTCCTGTATTGTTTATATTCGGACACATTACTTGCATTTTCCATATTACATTGTTATTTCCACTTAAGTATTTGTTGCACATTCTGCTGCTAGCACAAACATTCCAACCACATATATCAGTCATTCTGCACAACACAGCTAAGATTCCCTTTTCTTCACATTCAAAGGGACCACTTCCTTATAATAACAAGGAGTCCGGTGGCACCTTAAAGACTAACAGATTTATTCGGGCATAAGCTTTTGTGGGTAAAAAAAACCCATTTCTTCAGATGCATCATTCCTTATAATGGCTTTTCGTTCTCATTTTGTGCTCTCCTGTTTGCATTCTGGTCTCATCTGCTTCAGCCCATGCTGATTTTCCCCTGCATTTGCCAAACATTGATCCCCACCCCCCTTGCATTTGACAAACATTGATTTTTCCCTCCCTTCTGTGTTCTTAATTAATCAGAAGCCAATACTTCACCTTTATGTTTCCTCTTGTGTGTATGTGCGTGTGCAGCATTACTGATGATGTAATTGATGCTGACCATAATATATGCATACCAGCAGGGGCAGCACACACATTATCTGTGACACCAAATGGTAGCTATTTTTAAAACCTAATTCTTGGCATCAAAAGCAGCAGAAATAATAGACAAAGAGGTAATATAAATCTCCATATATGGACCATATCATTATTCACTAATGGCGTAGGATGGGAGGAAGAGGAGGAAACCATACATTCTCAGCACTATATATTTAATACTATGCAGCTTATACCATAGGCTCAGAGAATGGTCACTGTTAAAGGCGATATGGGCTGAATGAGTTAATGTCATTAAAGAAAACATTGAACTCTTGATTAGGGAATTAACCATATTCTTGATCACAATAAAGTTTTTCTACAAACCGTAATTTGAACATTTTTCCTTGCAAGATTTTGCAATGATCAGGCCAGTGTTGGACCAGGAAGTATTTCACAGTAAAAAAACAATAACAAAATGAAGCATCTTGTCCTTCAGCAATATTTATAGTCTCCCTTCACTGGTGGAGGAGGGGAAAGTACAATAGTAACTTCCGGCTTCTCTGCTGCTTAAAACCTCTTAAGACTCTTCATAAAGTTGTTTATAAAACAATTAGAGCAAATGATAGCGTTGGGTGGAGTCTGGGGTTAGGCAAGATTTAGAGCAGCTTCCACCACTTTAACTGTGCAAAGGAGCCTCAAAGAGTTGAGGTTACATGTGTATTTTTATCATCCTTTATTCAGGAATCTCCTGCTTCTGCATTCTGACAATGGCAAGAGCGGCAGGAACACACTCCCAGCATAAATCTTTCAAGAGCTTTCTGAAAGCATTATGCGGTCAAGCAAATGTGCCTGGTGTTATGTCCCCACCAATGGTTGTCTTCACTTTCCCTCTGTATTGCAGGAAATGGCTGACCCCAGGAGACTGAGTGAATGGATGAGGAGTCCTTCTGGCGACTGGAAGTGGCTTCGGATTACAAGTCTCTCTGGGGGTATGTGTACACTGGTAAAAAACCCACAGCACTGAGTCTCAGAACCCATGTCAGCTGCCTCAGGCTTCAGGGCTATGACATGTCAGTGTAGACATTCGGGCTCCGGCTGGAGCCTGGGGTCTGAGACCCCAGGAGAGGGGAGCATCTGAGAACCCAGGCTCCAGCATCTTCACTGCAATTTTTAGCCCCGCAGCCTTTAACCCTGCCAGCCTGAGTCAACTGACCTGAACTCTGAAGCTTGGTGCCACATAGATTTTATTGCAGTGTAGACAGGACCCAGCTCCAGCCCGAGCCAGCTACGGGAGCCAACCACGGCCATTTATCGCAGCGTAAATGTATCCTGAGCTACCAAGGGACTGGACTAAATGCCTTAACGAGTCCTTTTTCTTCTCTAATTGCTATGATGGGTGTAGCCAAGCCATGCCACTGACTGCCTTTCTCCCAGCCTGTGTCTGACTCAGTATGTCATGCTCAAGTCTCCCCCCCCCCATTCCTCTGCAGAAAGGCCAATAAACCCTACCTAGCCCCCAGGGCCATGCTTAATAAGATTGAAATTCTAAACCTGAAAGCATAACCTTTAGTTTATAAGAAAATCAAGACAAAAACACTTCCATGACCAAGATACCACTCACTCACCTTGACGTAGCCTGGTCCAGGGGGGCAGGACACCTGGGTTCTATTTAGGGCAACCAGATAGTAAGTGTGAAAAATCAGGACGGGGTGGGGAGTAATAGGAGCCTATATAAGAAAAAGCCCCAAATATCGGGACTGTCCCTATAAAATCGGGACATCTGGTCACCCTAGTTCTATTCCTGCTATCCACTTACTGTGTGGCCCTCCAACAGCATTTCTGTTTTAACATTGTGTCAATATCAGTCTGGTCCAAGCAGGGTTAGGTGATGGAGTCTTAGAAACACCTGGAAGCCTTGCAACCTGTCTCCACCAGAGCTCTCAATGTTGCTAACGCTGGTGGAGCTGCATGAGTCTGAGCAGTGCTGGGAAACTTTCTACAATTTTCCCTAGAAAGGGGCCCTCAAAGAAACATTTCCCATCCAGTACAGTGCTGTCAATCCCTGGGATTACTCTGGGCTACATGGCAGGAAGTGCCAGCTGGACTGGGCCTACCCTGTACAACAGGGGTTCTCAAACTGGGGGTGGGGACCTCTCAGGGGGTTGTGAGGTTATTACATGGGGGGTCATGAGCTGCCAGCCTCCCCCCCCAAACCCTGCTTCGCCTCTAGCATTTATAGTGGTGGTAAATATATAAAAAAGTGTTTTTAATTTATAAAGGGGGTCGCCATGAGAGGCTTGCTATGTGTAAGGGGTCACCAGTACAACAGTTTGAGAACCACTGCTGTACAACATGCAGCAAAGGGATGAGGGCAGAGCTAAGCGGGAAAAACAGATCCATGGTGATACTTTGTTCCAAAGGGAACGGAATTCCATTACTCCCCATTTCAGTCACAGCTCTGTAGATTTTAAGGGCCAGATGGGACCATTAGGTCATCTATTCTAACCTCATTCCTAAGCAAAGGCCAGAGACTTTCACCCAGTTACCCTCTATCAGGCCTGGTAACTTGTTTGACTAAAGCACATTGTCTAAAAAGGCATCCAGCCTTGATCTGAATCTACAGGAAGGAAACTGGTCCAAATCTCCTCTCATTGCTACTGTTGGCAGAACTGCGCAGGTGCATGGATAATTTAAAAGTCAAACACAGATGGAACTTTTGGGTAGAGGCCCCTGGTTTCATCCCTCTCCATAAAGTACAGTGGGTGTTGATAGGATCCAAATGCAGGGTGTCAACCCTTTAGGATTGTCCTGGAGTCTTTAATTAAAGCTTATGTCATGTGATGAAACGTCCAGCAATAGGTCTGACCAAAACTGGCAACCTTAATCCAAATGCACGTGAGTTTGATCTAAAACCCAGTTGAAGTTAAGGGGAATCTTTCCATTGGCCTCAAAGGGTGTGGGATTGGGTGCTTTTGGGGGGAGACGGGGTTGCTGGAGGGCTGGGGGGGGGCAGGAGCGAGCCTTATTTCCCCCGTCTTGAAAGGCTGACAGTGTTCAGTGCCTGCCTGCAGGACGAGGGAGGGTCTGAGCTTTTCGTTGCCTGGGCTCTGGTTTAATCACCCGCTTTCCCTTCGGCTTCTGGCTCCATCCTCTCCCCATTTGCGCTCTGCCAAAGCGCAGGGCAGGCGGGTTTCTGCTCCGCAGCCCAGCGAGAGTTAACGCCGGAGCCGGCTCTCCATTGGCAGCCGGGGGAAGCCGCCGGGGGGCGGCGCAGCCCTTTCGCTGGAAGTTGGCGGGTCGGAAAGGCGCCTGCCGCCGCTCAGCTCCGGGAGGAAGAAGGAGGCAGCGACTGCTCCCTGCACCGGGGACTCCCGGGGCAAACTTAGCCGGCGCTGGCGGAGACCGGGCGCGCCAGGAGGCGGCTCCTGTCTGGGCTCGGCGCATGACGCTCCCGGCCGCCCGGCTTGGCTGGGATGCCTGGTCCCCGCGGATCCGGAGGGAGTGAGCTGCCCCTGCCCGCCTGCTAGGGCTGCGGTGCCACCCCTCCCCGCCCGGCCCCGGGCGCCCCCCGGCCCGGCCAGCATGCTCCGCCTGGGCACGCTGCTGCAGTCGCTCGCCCTGCTCTGCCTCTGCCCGCGCCGCCCCGGGCACGTCTGGGGCAGGCTGACGAGGGGCTCCGGGGAGCTGGCCGGCAGCGCCGCCGCCGCCTGGGACCCGCTGCCGGCCCTGCCCCGGCGGAGCCGGCGGGGAGCCTCGCCGCCGGCCAACAGCTCCGGCGCGGCGCCCTGGTGCCCGTACAAGGTGTTCAGCGAGGGCCAGGCCAGCGGCCGCCTCTGCTTCCGGAGCCCGGCCCGGGACTTCCAGTGCCCGCCGCCCAGCTGCAGGGCGCACCGCTCGCCGGGCCGCGCCCTGGTGGCCAACGTGCTGCGCAACGGCAGCGTCTTGCTCCAGTGGGGGGCGCCCGGCGGGCCGGGCCGGGACCTGCGGGGCTTCGCCCTCAACTGCTCCTGGGACGGCACCTACACCCGCTTCCACTGCGACAGCGTCCAGCTGGGGCCCCGCTGCCGGGACTACCTGCTGCCCGACGCGCACGGCAGCGTGCGCTACCGCCTGTGCCTCCGGCCGCTCTACCGGGCCGGCGGGCCGGGCGCGCCCCGCGCCGAGTGCGTGGAGTTCAGCCTGGAGCCGGCCAGCAGGCAGGACATCGTCATCGCCATGACGGCCGTGGGGGGCTCCATCTGCGTCATGCTCGTCATCATCTGCCTCCTGGTGGCCTACATCACCGAGAACCTCCTGCCGCCGGCCTTCGGCCGGGCCGCCGCCCCCAAGAGGGGCACGTAGGGCAGGGGCCGGGCCCCGCCCCGGCGGGGGGGGACCGCTCCAGAACCGGCCCTAGAGCGCCCTCTGCAGGCGGGGGCATGGAACCGGTCTCTAGAGCTGGGGGTGGAGCGCCCTCTCCAGCCAGGGGCCTGGAACCTGCCTCTAGAGCCGGGGGCTGGAGCGCCCTCTGCAGGCAGGGGCTTGGAACCTGCTTCTAGAGCCAGGGGCTGGAGCTCCCTCTGCAGCAAGGAGGATGGAACCGGCCCCTAGAGCCAGGGGCTGGAGCTCCCTCTGCAGGCAGGGGCCTGGAATCTGTCTCTAGAGCCGGGGGCTGGAGCGCCCTCTCCAGCCAGGGGTGTGGAACTGCCTCTAGAGCCTGGGCCTGGAGCTCCTTCGGGCCTGGAACCAGCCTCTAGAGCCGGGGGCTGGAGCTCCCTCTACAGGCGGGGGCCTGGAATCTGCCCTGGAGTTCTAGAGCCAGGGATGTGGAACCGCCTCTAGAGCCCAGGCCTGGAGCTCCCTCTCCAGCCAGGGGCCTGGAACCTGCCTCTAGAGCCGGGGGCTGGAGCGCCCTCTGCAGCCAGGGGTGTGGAACCGCCCTTAGAGCCTGGGCCTGGAGCTCCTTCTCCAGCTAGGGGCCTGCAACCTGCCTCTAGAGCCAGGCAGCTGGAGCTCCCTCTCCAGCCAGGGGGATGGAACCGGCCCCTAGAGCCGGGGCCTGGAGCTCCCTCTCCAGCCAGGGGCCTGGAACCCTCCACCCAGCTCGGGCATGGTGGATCCCTCTCCATTCCAGGGTAGTGATGGACACTTCTCTTCCTAGCTGACTCCAAAATGCATATTGATCACAGTGCTGTAGGGGGTAGACTTTGATTAAAGCGTCACCTGGGGGTTACCAAAGCCTATAACCTTTCTGTTCCTGTTAGCGGTGACAAGGACAACTTAAATCCAGAGGAAACCAGTGCCATCACCCAGAGCAGATCTGCAGCAACCTGAGGGACCTCAGTACCATTGTATGACTCAAAGCTCTTTAGAGTTGTATGCGGTATTATTTTCCATAGAGGACTTTCTATAGATCAGTCTTAACTAGACCAAGGGAAGTTTTAAATAGCTAAGGAAAACTGTGTTTAGAAAGAAGCAGCGGAGAAATAGTCACACATTCAGGTGTCTGAACATCAGTGTTCTGTGATAAAGAACTTATACTGTGAAATATTTGTGAGGTATGTAATTGTGGTTGGGCATGGTCATGCAGACATTACTAATAGAAAAGTACGTATTGTTACGGAATCCTGAAAGATTGGGTTATAAGCAACCTTCGAGATAATGTTGATGTGTGCATTTTATTATGATTTTTAGAACTAAACATTCCATAAGAGGATAAAAGAGATGGGACAAAGAAAGCCCCAATTCCTCACACTATGTGCCATAACCTAGATTGTTGCATTGTTTTGCAGTCGTGTTACATAGGAAAATTCACAGTAAAATAGAGTTAGTTAGTAATAGGATCAAAATTAGGCATATTAATTAGTGCTGATTTAAAGCATTCAGAAATACAAGCCTGTTCTTCAGCACATATTTCGTTAGGTACCATCTTTTTTGTGAAGTTGTTTTCCTTCATTTTATTTGCAGACCAGTTGTTAAAATACCAAGATCTTTTTGTTTTAATAGCAAATTTGCCAAGTGTATCATGTAAAGGTTTGGAATTTTGTTTTCTATTTTTAGTAAAAAAAAAAAAAATAAATAAAAATTAAAAAGCAGCTATTTAGCCTGAGCCATACCCAGTTTTCAAACTTAAAATATCTCAGTGAGTTAAAAGTAAAAATCAGGAATCTGCATGAAGTGCCAGCAAAATTGCAGTTTTGAAAAGTAAACTAACTTATTTTTAGAGGCCTCAAATCAAAAAAGCACTTAAACACATGTTTAACTTGAAGCATGTGCTTAAATCCCATTGATTTAGATGTGCTTAATTGCTTTCCTGAATTGGAATGCTATCCTGAAACTTGGCCAAAGAGAGTAGATCGATACAGCTTAAACTCTGGGGCTGATGCAAAGTCCACTGAACTGAGTGGAAAAACTCCCATTGACAGCGGTGGGTTTTGGATCAAGCCTTATGGTAAGCGGCTCAACAACTCAGGGGCCCAGGCCTGCCCCAATTGAAATCAACAGGAGTTTTGTCCTTGGCTTTAACAGCACTAGGCCCTTTCAAAAGTAACAATGTTTTTAGAAAAAACATTGGATCTAGCCAATGTGTCTCAGGTTTCTGCCTGCTGCAGTTTAAAAAAGGTCAGTTTAAGACTGGGATTCATAATGGAAACATGAACTGAGCTTTAATTATAATGGTGTGAAAAATACACAATAATAACTACTATGACTAGTCTTTGCTACCCCATCTTTTACGAATGCAATACACCTTTGTTCCACTAAGGTAACACCTCCTAAACTCTGAATTCTGTTATGTAGTAGCTGAGTATTTTTAATATAGGAACACTAGCTGTAATCCAGTCACTCGATGCTATAGTAAACTAGGATTTTAGCTAAACTCTAGTATTCATTATATTGTGCCTTAGTGTTGAAAGTTTGACCCATTTATATTGGCTTTTCTGTTCTTGTTGTAAATATTATTGGAACATGTGTACCTCCCACAGTGTTTTGTCTATTTAATAGGAAAATAAACCTAGGCTAGCTGAATATTACTTAAATTTTAAATATATATTTAAAATAGAGTAAATTACCTTCCTAGAGCTTCTGTGTTAGTTTTTATTTAGTATTGTCTCCACATAGTTTACTGGTATAACAAAAATCTAACATTATATCACATTAAAAAATAATGGTAGGGGGAAAATAGGGTTTATGTAATAGCGTATTATTAATAGATCACATATGAAACTAAAGTGTTTGTCTGAATAAACACATATGTTTATAATCAGTAAATGCCCAGTGGGCATTTACTGAGGTAGTATGGAAGACCTAAAACTTGTAAGTACAGTAGATGGCATATGTACAAACCCTCTAGAATCTGTTAAAATACAATATTTGTACTAATCAGATGAGCACAGCCATACTACAGACAACATTTCTCTCCCCCCCCCCCCCCCCCCCCGTGTGTGTGTTTAATCCAGCAAGCAAACTTATTTCCCTTAGGACTGAAATAATTTAAGGGTGGTCAGGAAGCTGAAGATCTGTATTTTGTCAGACAAAAATACCTCTCTTTTTCATTATTTCTTCATGTTTTCCTTCTCACAAGAAGCTTGCTGTAAATTACACTTCTTCCCTTCATGAGTTTCTTGCCTATGAACCTTGGTTTAAAACCACCTGACAGTATTTAAAATATAATTGCAATCGGGGGATGAGCCCTGACAGACAATTTCATTCACGTTTTTCCCCAGAGAGAGATAATGTGTGAAATAATCTGAAATTAGTTCAAGAATATTAAGACAAGTTGTACCTAGTGGAGTCATGTCATCCTTTGTGTAAATTCATTGAAATTCAGTGGATTTAAACCCACAGTGAATTTGGCTAGTTTCCTTTGAAGACTTCGCATGCATCTACCCTATGGCCAATTCTATGCAGGATTAGTAGAGTGGAACTAATATTGTACATTTCTATCAATTTCTGTCACTTGCTGTTGCTGTCTTGTCCTTCATCTTGCCATGAATTGCCAGACTTGAAAGTTAAATGTATAACTAATGAGCCTTGTATCACCTTGGAGTTGACCTTAATGAAATAAAAGAACATAATAAAAACGTTATAGATTCTGACTGATACCTTTTTTGATCAGGTGAGTTAGAAGTCCTTTCTGATTCACGTCGTGGATAAACCCACCTAAGGCTTGTCCTAGTTATATTGTTTGCTGTAAAATTATTGCAACATTGTTTGTTATACAGGTAGAAACACATGTAATTTTTGAGCACGTGCCTTATGGAAAACATTGCCAGCATAACTCTTCTGCACAAAGATTTTTTCCCCCCCTCTAACAAACAGGTTTTCTGTGCACACCTTTTCTTTTTCTTTGTTCTTGTTCAGTGTCCCACATGTCTACGAACCTGAAACAAAACCCAGTGAGGTCAATAGAAAGTCACTCATGGACTTCACTGGGCTTTGGATCGGGCCCTATAATGCTGCATTTGTTGTCTGTGTTTCTCAGCAAATTAATTGTAAAAATATTTCCTTTCAAAAAAATGAATAACACTGGTGGTTCAGCTGTACAGCAAGTATGTTCTCAGCTGTGCTGGAATTTTCAACACCCATATTTTTGGGTTGATTTCTGGCCAGTATAATAGAATTGCAGCGGTGCTTCATTTGAGGATCTCAAGTGATTTGCAAGCAGTTGTAAATATTTTTATTTCCATTTTAAAGATGAAGAAACTGAGGCACAGAAAGGTTATTGAGTGACTTGTCCAAGGTCACACAGAACTCTTCTGGCAGAACCTGGATTAGAATCCAGACCATCTGACTTCTAACCTGCTTTTAATAAATAGAATCAGCTTTAACAACTGTTTTATTTTCCAAATAATGGGCCAGATCCTCAGCTGATGTAAATTGGCATCGTTCCGTTGAGATCAAGGAAGCTATGCTCATTGACATCAGCTGAAGCTGTGGCCCAATCCATTTAGGTCTTACTCGGTTTGACATTCAATGTTCCATTCAGATTTATGTGCCGTTTAAAATAAGAGCATTAAAAATTAACTATTTTCATTTCTCATCATCCATCATTGATGAACCATAGTTTGGGACAAACATTACACAATTTCTTTTCACATATCTTCTCCTTGAGCTTCTTTGTAAAGAGGTGATCACACTATCTACCATATTTACGGAGTTAAATACATGCGCTAAAGACTCTGAACACACTACATTCCCTACAGAATCACTTTCCCCACTAATAACAACATGGTCAAAACAGCCCTGTCTGGTAGTTCATCCAGTGCAGGTCCCACCCCAACGGTGGCTGAATTTCTGCAGTGGGTGAAGTGAACTGTTATTTATGTAGAGTGTGGTAGTACCCCTACTCGCTTTCCAAACAC